GGGCACCGTTGGCAATAAAAAATAAAATGGAACAAAAAAAAAAAGAAAAAAAAGAAGAAAGATTTACAAAAAAAATGCTCGATATCTTGATCGCTTCATTGCCATAAGCTGAAAAACCTTCTTCTTCTATTTCTTTTTCATCGATCTTTTCTGCAACATTTTTTTTCTTTGATCCTTTACACGCCTTTCTTTTCTTTAAAAAATGATCTATAATCGATCGACACATATATATATATATATATATTTGCTTTATACCATCTTAATCGACACATGTAATGAAGTTTTTCTCGTTCTGACACGTGTAATGAAGTTTTCTCTCTCTCTCTCTCTCTCTTTTTTTTTTGTCGCTGTCTTTTTTTGAAAAAATCTTATCCATATTTACGATCTTTCCTACGACAAGTGACGATTAATTTTGAAAATGTTTCATGGAAAAACGATGAATGATAGGGTCTTCTAGTACAGCCCTAGTCACTGTAAGATAAAGAGAAAAGATGATGAAAGGACCGATTATGGAAACTAAGTCCGCGGACTCCGCCTCTCGATTAATCGAGAATCGTAAGATCGGTCACGCCCAGCTTTTCAGTACGGCCAGTATTTATGCGTTGTAAAAATTTTTCATCTCGTTGAACCGATACGATATGACGAGAAACATCGGAAAAACGAATTGATTGAGAAAAAAAAAAAAAAAAAGGAAAAAGAATCATCGATAAATAATACAATATTATTTCATCTTCTGTAATCCAATCGATTCGAAAACTAAATGAAATTATTCTAAACTCTTATGTGTGATGTTCTATCTTAAAAAAGAAAAAAAAAAAAAAAAAAAAGAATAACTAATTTTAATCGATTTTGTTTAATACTCGAATAATGTAAAATAATGTAAAAGAAAAAATAAATAAATAAAAGTAAGAAAAAAAAAAAAAAAAAGACAAAAGAAAAAAACATAAAGAGTAAAAAGATCTTAGCCAGTGCTCTCGATTTTTCTAACAAACGAAAGAAACCTAATCTCTTTGAGACATCTTATGTAAGTACACGTGAATTATCATCAGCCCAGTGTATGTGTGTGTGTGTGTATGTGTGTCCTCTATGAATGGCTCTTTCAGAAAGAGAGAGAAAAAGAAAGATGGAGGATTATTACGTAAAACGTGTACAGAATATGGAACGAAGCGAGGTTTACTTAATGACCCTGATTTTCTTTTCGTCTTGGCCTCTATTACAATTACCCATAAACATATACACACACACACACACACACACATAAAATATAAAATTCAAAATAACAAATTAACGAAATAACAAATATATAAAAGTAACAAAATAATAAAACAATAATAATAATGATAATAATAATAATAATAATAATAATAATAATAATAATAATAATAATAATAATAATAATAATAATAATGATAATAATAATAATAATAATAATAATAATAGACAATGACTAATCCGATGGCGGAAGTGAACAAGTTGAAGCATTAGATTTTTCTCTATTCTATTCGCGTGGCTTCTATAATACTGAACGCGCGGGCTCTTGTACGTTTCTATTCCGCATCACAAATATACACTATATATAGACAGATAGAGATGATACTCATCATCGTCACGTAGATACTACTCCACCTGTGTTGTATCATGAATACTCCATAAAAGCATCACCACACTGGGTCCTTCCTTTTTCGAAGGCCGACATTGTTCGCCACGAATGGATCCAAACCTCCCTCTTCCTCCCACCCTCCTCTCTTCCACTTTGTGATCTTTGATCTTTTCTTTCGATATAACTCGTCGTACAAACGGAATACGTAAAGAGTTTCTTCTTTTTTTTTTTTTTCTTTTTGTTTGTGTGGGCGAACAAACGAGAAGGACTTTCAATAGTTTAACAGGTGTCGTTATCTCATTGATCTCTTTCTTGATCCTATTAATGTCATTAATGTAGTTTTTTTTCCTTCTCCTCTCCTCCTCCGCCCACCTCCATCTGATCGTATACAAAATGATAGTACGTATTATTTTTGAAATCTCATAATCGCATGTAATTTATTCCATTGAATGAGAAAAAAAAGAAGGAAAGGAAAAAGAAAATCTTTTCCTTTTTTTTTTTTTTTCTTTTTTTTATTCCAAACCTAAAAGTGTCATCGTGGCAACTAAGACCAGGTCTCAGAGAGAAAACATAGTTTGTCGTGAGCAAACAGGCCACGGTGACATCGCCCTGAGCGACAACTCTCATGATGATCGCATACCTTTCTCTCTTTCTCTCTTTCTCTCTTTTTCTATCTCTCTCTTTTTCTCATTCTCTTTCTCTCTGTCTATCTCTCTTTCTCTTTCTTATTCTAATCCACTCTAATCCACCATAAAAATATCATGCTTAAAAAGTAATATGAGAAAAAATGTTAAAAGTCTTTCGAAACTTTTTGAGGAATGTGTCAAGCGGAAAATTTTCTCTACAAAATTTATGACAATAAATATGATTATTACATAATAATACATAACAATGGATCTTTTTATCGTCGTATGTATTAAAAGAGAGAGAGAGAGAGAGAGAGAGAGAGAGAGAGAGAGAGAAAAGGAAAAAAGAAAAAAGAAATCAGTGCTATAATCGATTCGTTCAACAAGCGCACCACAGTGACACACAAGAGACCATTTAACGAGATACATATCTACTCCCATGCATTAAAACGTAAAAACGTGTTAGTAGTATGTACGTGTGTCAGGCATCTTGTAAAGACGTTCACAGACATACTAACATTAATGCAACGTACACTCGCACGTGCCATGCACCTGTCATTTCCCTTTACCATGGGTGATACAAAGCAGCCGCTCTTCTCGTTAATTGAATACAGAAAGTTAATGTGCATGTGTATTGTCCATGTGTATCTGTCTCTATGCGTGTTTGCGAGACACGTTCGGTGGGTGTTTTATCGTGGGCCTCGAGCTTTATAGACTTATCACAGGTGGCCTCGTCTTACTATGACCTAATCTACGATATGTTAGTACGACGTTAGCAAAAAGATAAAGCGAATCATTTTATTTTTAATTCTATCTTTTCTGCTGTTTACTTTTTCTCTTTTCTTTTCTTTTTTTTCTTTTTTTTTTTTTTTTTTTTTATTTGTTTTATTTGACGATCATAATTTAGGATGAAAATTTTTCTACTAAATCGGCGTTATACTACGAATTTTTCAATATCTCTTAATTGTAAGTACACGATTGTTCTCGATAATGATTTAATTTATATATATATATATATATATATATATATATATATATATAAAACAAAAAAAGATATATTACTCGAGCAATCGTATAAATGATAATCGACAAAAGGAATTACAACACTGAAATTATTCTTTCGAAACTTTCACATGTAAACACAATTTCATACGAGAAAAAAAAAAAAAAAGAAAAAAAAAAAAGTAATATTTTTCCAAAGTATCTTTTTTCATGATGAAGTTCCACGAATCGCAAAGAAAGCGAGGACCGATAACACGAAGGAAGTAGAGAGTCTTATCGATGTGGGTCTCGATAAGAGACTGCAAGCCGTTAGTTGGCTCATGAGAAAACTTTAGCATCTTTTCTCTCTCTCTCTCTCTCTCTCTCTCTCTCTCTCTCTCTCTCTCTCACTCTTTCTCTCACTCTTTTATTCTTTACAGTTATAGCAAATAATTATCATCAAAAACTAAAAATCGTCTCTGTTAAAATCAAATATCTACAAATTGTCCGACAAATTTTCAACGAGAAAGATTTGACGAGAAACAAAAAAAAAAAAGAGAAAGAGAAAAGGAAGAAAAGAAAAACCGATTCGATGAAATACAAAAAGAAAAAAAAAATAAATAAATAAAATAAATAAATAAATAAAAAGAAACAAAAGAACAAAAATTGAAACAGGATCTTTCCTTCGAAATAATCAAAATACGAACGTTCAGATCTCGAATGATTAAAGTTCGGTACCCCCAAAGGATGGAGAGGATCAAAACGAATGGACAGGAGCGAATCCTGTTGAAAAGTCGATATCCCTTAGGCTAGTCGAGTACAACACACCCACGTGTACGGCATAATAAACACGAGAGATTCGTCGTCGTATCGCTTCTCTTGCGGAACAAGGACGGACACGAGTATCTCGCGGTGGGAGAAGAAGGAAGAAGGAAGGAACGACGGCGAGACTAAGAAGAAGAAGAAGAAGTAGAAGAAGAAGAAGAAGAAGTAGAAGAAGAAGAAGAAGAAGAAGAAGAAGAAGTAGAAGAAGAAGTAGAAGAAGAAGAAGAAGAAGAAGAAGAAGAAGAAGAAGTAGAAGAAGAAGAAGAAGAACGACGGAGACGACGACGATGTCGACGACGACGACGACGACGATGAAGAAGAAGAAGAAGAAGAAGAGAAGAAGAGGAGAGAAGAGAGTACGAGAGAGGAGAGTACGAGAGAGGAGAAGGCAAAGGCGGCTAATGGTAATGGTAGCAAGGCAGTGTCTCTCGAGCCGCCGTCGAAGCCGGCTCGCATTCATCTCCGAGTGATCCACGTGCGATCCCAAAGATCGATCTATAAATCTTTCGTACGATGAGTAATTCGATTTCGAGAGGAATGACGGACATTTTACAACCATTAAATCTTCTTGTAATTTAAAAGCGTTACATTCCAGTGTTTTATCGAAGCCTTAAGAAACTCTTGCATTTTTTTTATATATATATATATATATATATATATGAATAATAAACAAATTGGATTAATTTTTCTAATCAAAATTTTTATATCGATTTGGTTAAGTCCTTAAGAAAAAACAAAAAATATATGTATATGTATATATATATATATATGTATATATATATATATATAAAACAAAACAAAACAAAACAAATACTTCTCGCGAATGGTTCTACTTTTTGCATGAAATCGGATCGGATCGGTGACCGACTTTCTCTGAAATCGATCGACGAGATCGAAGACCAAAGAAAAATTTTCAAAGAAAGAATTTAATCAAAATAAAGAAAAAAAAGAAAAAAAAATCGGTACAAGTCAAAAACAAAAAAAAAGAAAAAGAAAAGGAAAAACTAACAAACAAAAAAGAAAAGAAGAAAAGAAACAATGAAGTGTTGCGGTGAATGAAACGAATCAAAATCTTCTTTCAGATCTTTCACAGGATTCTAACGAGATTTTGAAGTGCTAAAGTCGTCCAAAACGAGTGTCATATTTGAACGGGATAGTGTAGTGAAAAGAGAAAAAAAGAGAAAAGAAAAAAATAAAGAAAATAAAAAATAAAAGAAAGGGTGACGGAAAAAGGGACGAGAACGTCCATTTAGAAATTCCTGTCCCTTCGAAAGGATGATGAGATCATTGTTAATAAAAAGTATACGAAGGAGGAGGAAGCAGGCAGTTGTTCTAACTATGGGGTAGAAGAAATGTACCCCGGAAGGTCGAGTTGGGCCCGGGGCGTTCTTGCCCTCGGTGCTGGGAGTTTGCTTCTCCTGGCCCTTCAATGGAGGATCGATGAGATTCGTGGAGAGGAGGGAGGAACTACTACTTCGACTTGGGACATAAAAGAAAGGGATGTAGAAAATGGCGACTTAGAAAATCGAGCGATCGCTAGATCGACGATTACTACGATCGAGAATGATAAAAACGAAAAAGTTACTTTCGCGTATCAATGGTCGAATATTCGAATAAAAAGAGAAAATGAAAAGAAAAGTAACGGTAAAGATCATCGTCATAAAGACGACAAACGATCGAGCTGGTTCTCGAGTACAATGGATCGATCGATCGATGATCGAGAGGAAGAAATTGTTACTTCCGGTTTATCTTCAAGAAAACAAAATAACATTAACAAGAACGACGTCGACGATGACGATGACGATGACAACGACATTCTCTTTCCAACGTCGTCGCCGATCGAGCAGAAAATCAAAGATGACATCGAAGAAAACAACTTCCTTCTTCCTGACCAAGGAGTTTCTCTACCGATCGAACGATCTTTGCACTTGTCACGTGCCAACGAGGGAGAAGACCCGACATTGGGAAGGAGTACGAAACATTTTACTGGAATGCAGAAGGACCGGATGCCTTTTTTTCGTGAGAATCTCTCAAGATCGTTCAATGAACTCAAACGAGATGACAATAACCATAAATATGTTAATTCAAAAAACGTTATGTCCTCCAATTTTTCCTCTAATGAAAAATTTCCAAATAAAACAATTAATTCGATTAAAAATAATAAAAAGTCATTGATAGTTCGACTTTCTCACAGTTTTACTTTGGATCGTCGCAAAAGATATACGAATTATTATTCCCTACAATCAGCAATACCAATGGCTTACGTTCACATTCAACCGTCGTATCCGGTGGCACCGTCACCCCCGCCCCCTAGCCGGAAGTGCATACGTTGCATGGTCGTCTACAAGCCGTGTCCTTCGCCACCGAGACAACCACCGAGAATCGTCCTTCCGACTTACAAGTACCAAGAACCGGCCTCGAAGTGGCATGGTCTCAAGTATGGTGAGTTTGCTTCGACGTAAGAAAACATTTAAAAAAAAAAAAAGAAAAAGAAAAAAGAAAAAAGTTTTATAAAACAAAATTAAAAAAAAAAAAAAAAAAAAAAAAAAAAAAGAAAAGAAATAATAAATAAATAATACGAATAAAAATCGAGACTCATTCGACGCGTTTTTAATACTACGATTATCATACACAATGTTTTAAGTACAAACTTCATTTAAAAAAGTTTCCAACATAGTTTTCACTTCAGTCACACGCATGATAATGAATTATCTAATATTTAATATCTACAAAAAAAAAAAAAAAAAAAGAAAAGAAAACAATCGAATATATTATATACAAGATTGATACGTGAATTAATTTCGAGTCGACATTGATAAACGTTTTTAAAAATTAATAATTAATTGAACCGACGTATGAAAAACAATATTTCAAAGTTGCAATCTGTAAGAATCAAAAGTTGCATAGTAAAAGAAAAAAAGAAAAACAAAAGGAAAGAAATAAAGAAAGAAAGAAAGAAAGAAAGAAAGAAAGAAAGAAAGAAAGAAAGAAAGAAAGAAAGAAAGAAAGGAAGAATGGAAAAGAAAAGAAATATCATTACTCTTCCGTAAAATATATGATAATGTCTGCGAGTACACGGAATACACTTGGCGATATTTGCGTTACATAGGCCGCACCCGTGGCTCTTTGATCGATACCGAGGTACCGCCGATCGTGAGTACGAAATTTGCATTGTTCCAGGAAGAAATTCGAATCAAAAAGTAACTTCGTAATCGCGCTTATTATTAAAAGAGAGAGAGAGAGAGAGAGAGAGAGAGAGAAAAAAAAAAGAAAAAGATCGGAAGCGAAACTCCAAGAACTAAGTTCGCCGATCAAAGGTCTGACCTTCGACCTCGATACGAAGAAAAAGAGAGAAAGAGAGAGAGAGAGAGAGAGAGAAGACGAGGATGGTTAGGATGTAGCTCATTAACTCGTACCAACGATACCCGCGGGATCGACTTGGATGCGCGAGAAAAAGCGAAGAAACGATAAATTGCAATCAAGCGAAAGATGAAATCAGTCTCCTCAACAAAGATTTTTCTTGATAATTTGCATTTCTATCTCTTTGTTATCAAACTCGTAAATCATACGATTAACAAAATTCAACGATATCGAGAGTATAGATATCTTTTAATATCTAACGAATAAGAGAACTTTTATCTTTTATATTTATCTATCTATTTTATTTTTAAATTAAAACAAACGCACAATTTCGAATGAAATAGAAAGATATCTTTTCTTTTTCTTTTTTGCCTCGATCGAACGACGAAAATAATAATCTTTTAAAAATTTTCATTCTCCTTTGGTGTGAATCTATTTTTCTAAGTTGTTACGTAAATAACAGATAAGCTGAATCACACATACGTGTTAATCTACGTACGCACACGATGAATTTTTCTCGACCTTGCCGGACTAGCCTACTTATATACTCGATCTTTCTAAGAACACGAGTCCAATACGCGTGTTGATCGAAAAAAATTGTTCTTTCAAACGAACAAGGGGAAGATGGAAAAAGGAAAAAGATATTTCTTTTTCACACGATTTATAATTACTACCTTTAAAACATAAAAAAAAAAAACAAAAACAAAAAGAAAAGAAAAAAGAAAAAAAAAAAAAAAAGAAAAAAGAATACGGTGGCCTTCATAAAAGATAGGGAAACGAAAACATCGAGATGACAAATCGATCTTGATGACTAACATCGATCATTGGAATCCGCAAGGTAATTGCCCCGCGTACGCATCACGAGTTCGAGAATACTCTACTACTCTTTAAGTGTATACGTACACGGACACGTAACACCAATACGCATGATTCGTAATCGTGCGTGGAAAATATTCGTTCAGGGTGGTCTCTCGACCTGGCTCTCGACGTTGAAAAAACGTCTCGGTGCGTGCCGTTTAATCGTTACCGTTCCCACCCAACGAGACACGTTCCCGTTTTCTCAGCTTATCTTCTATGAGAAGAGACTTGAGTGAACTCATACAATGACTTCATAGTGTTATTTTCTTTTTAATGTATTATATTATATACGAGTAAAACATACATTGTTATACCTATAAGATTATCAATATCAAATAAATTACAATTAGTAATCTACTTTATTACAAGGTACCTCTCTTTTTACGAGTAAAAAAAAGAAAAAAAAGATACAAGAAGAGATGGGGGGAAAAAATAAAGAAGAAAAAACAATTACTATTACGTAGGCATTTATAATTCATTGATAATATCACTTATAAATGACCATTCATTCTAATTCCGGATTTTCTGGGAACTTTATCGGGTAGGATTTTTTTGAAGATTACTTCGTCGACCGATTGTTTCATTCAACGAAACGTTAGACGATGATTTTCTAAGACCGAGAATATATTAGACTAGAACGATAAGATTTCCGTAATTTATAAAGCTTATTCTCTCACCCCCTCTATCTCTTTCTCTTTCTATCTCACACACACACTCTCTCTATCTCTCTCTCTCTCTCTCTCTCTCTTTCGACATAGTACGACTATGCTTTCTATTTACTCCTATTTCACGCTGTAACTCATCGCTCAGTTTACTCAAACCCATACACAAGAAAAGGAATCTAAAGAAGCCTTTTCTCTCGTGTATCTCTCCCTTTTCTCCAAGCCAAAGATATAACTCTCTCTCTCTCTCTCTCTCTCTCTCTCTCTCTCTCTCTCTCTCTCTCTCTTTCTCTCTCTATCTCTCTCTAACATACGTTTTATATCTTCTCGCGGAATCTCGTTCCCTTCCACGTCTATAAACTTTCAAGCAGCCAAGGACTCGGGCTTGTCAGCTTGTCGAATTACGAAGGGAGGAAGTTAAGTTTCTTTGAAGTACGACGATCGAGTATGTATGTATATAGATATATAAAGCCCTTTAAAAAAAGAAAAAAAAAAAAAAAAGAAGGATTCAAAAAGAAAAGATAAAAAAGAAGTAACAAACATTTTCGGTATACGTGTCTCGATAATTCAACTTGAAGACGAAATAAAATAAAAAAAATAAAATAAAATAAAAAGTAAAAAAAGAAGGAATAAAAAAAAAAAAAAAAAAAAAAAAAAAAAAGAAAAAAAAAAGAAAGAAAGTACAAAAAAAAAAAAAGAATAAGATAATTAAAGGTCGGTAAGCACTTCATTATCTCATACCTATCTATTATCTTCTCTGAACGTAGCTATGATCGAAGATAAAGATCGTGATTTACAAGCATCGTGTATAATTTATAATCCAAGAACAAGAACAATGTAAGAGAGAAAGAGAGAAAGAGAAAGAGAGAGAGAGAGAGAGAGAAAGGAAAAGAAATAAGAAAAATGAGATATTATTCGACTACAACTCGTAATTAAACGTCTGTTAAATACAATCAACGATATTGTCCAATCTATCAAAGATAAAGAACTAACTAGACATTAGCAAAGGAAATAAATATAGAGTTATAGAGAGATGGAGAAATAAAGAGATAGAAAGAAGAATAGATCGACGAAAGATCTTTGATCGGTCACGGACGACTATGAAAGAGAGAGAGAGAGAGATAGAGAGAGAGTGAGAGAGAGAGAGAAAGTGAGAGAACAAAAATAGCATTGCCGAACGACGAGCGATGTGTCGCGACACGTCGTGAAGGAACGTCAAGAAGAACAAAAAGTATTCAACGAATAAGACAAACAAAACGAAAACAAAAAAAAGAAAAAATAGAAAGAATAAAAAGAATAGAAAGAAGAAGAAGAAGAAGAAGAAGAAGAAGAAAAAGAGGGAGAGAAAAAGAGGAAGAAAAAGAAGAAAAGGGAAAAGAAGAAAAAGAAAAAGAAAAAGAAGAAGAAGAATAAAAGGTGGTCTAGAAGGGTGCATCGTATGCAGCTTCCTGCACGAAACTTGCGTACAACAGCGTAAGAGGAAAAAAAAGAAAGAAAGAAAGAAAGAAAGAAAGAAAGAAAGAAAAACAAAAAACACAGAAAAAGAAAAAATAAAGAAAAAGAAGCAGTATAGGGATGCTGGATGTTTCGCGTCCGTTTCGTTCCTTCTTCTTCTTCTTCCTCCTCCTATTCTCTTCTTCTTCTTCTTCTTCTTCTTCTTCTTCTTCTTCTTACCTTCGTAGCTCGGCACGCTCATCCTGTACAATGCATTGGGATGCATCGAGCCAGCCAACGGCGATGCAACACTTCGTCGCGGTTGCTTTGAAACTACTCTCCCTCTCCCTCTCTCTCTCTCTCTCTCCATCTCTATCTCTCTCTCTTTCACTCTCTTTCCTTCTCTCTGTATCCTATCTCTTTTTACTTCAGTGGTAGGTAGAGAAGCAATCTATCTCTCTCTTTCTCCATCGGATTCTCTCGCACGCGAGCACGCACGATTTCTTTCTTCCTTGTCTCCCCCTTCTACCCCTCCCTTCCACTCTACCCCTCTCTTCCTCTCTCTCTCTCTCTCTCTTATCGCGTTAGTAGCATCGTCATCTCATGCTATCTCTTCGCAGTGTCCGGTTCAACGTTGAGGAGGCAAACTTCCTTCCTGTCTACGATTCTCGCTAAGATTTTCTTTCTTTCTCTTTCTCTCCCCCTCTCTTTCTCTCTCTCTCTTCTCGTTCAATTTTCTTTCTTTTATATTTTATTAGATAATTTTCTATCTGATCGAGTTTTATCGAGTATGCCAATTAATGAATTACACCTGACTTCATTCTCTTTTCTTTCCTTTTCTTTTCTTTTATTTTTCTTTTCTTTTCTTTGTTCATTTAATTTCTTTTCCTTTTATTATAATCTCGCATAAATTCTATAAAATATAATATACATCTGCACTTTGTTTATTATTCAGCACGCAACTGAATTAGAGACTTTATTCTTTTTTCATATTCTTACTCGTTACACCTGGTATCGAATAATAATAACACAACACGTGTGTTTGTGCTCGCGATACGATCGAAATATACGTAAGTACATAGAAACAAAACGTAACCCATGATCATGCTCTGTGTTACATGTACGACGGTGTATAAACTACGCTATGAAACAATTATATTTCTAATGAAATTGAAAAAGAGAAAAATATCTGAGATAACATTATATCGAAATCTTTGATATTTCTGATTTAGAATTAAAACGAATTGTGTTATACTATATTTTCAATTTTATAAATCTTTCATTATTACTGCTTTGTTTTTTCATAAAGAGATTAGAAAAGACGAAATTATCCGAATGACTACAAAATGACTACGAATTAATTAACCTTATCGACTTCTTTCTTCCTCTAATTAGAAAGATCTAGAATTAGATTTATAAAAAAAAAAAAGGGGGGGAAAAAAAAAGAAAGAAGAAAAAAAAAAAAAAACAACTGATCATATTTTTTCCTACGAATTAAAACAAAACAAATTTGCAATTTTGTCAACTAATCTAATAACATCAAATCGTATTAAAAACTACAATGCATAATATTCCAGATATTAAAAATTTCGATTATTTCTAACAGATAAAATATCAAATGATTTCTTTTTCGACAAAAAAAAAAAAAAAAAAAAAAAAAAGAAAAAAAGAAATCATACATTTCTAACAAAGAAACATGTACGAGAAATCTCTATTGGAAGTTTCAAATGAGATACATATATCCAACTTTTTAGTTATATTAAAATTTTTAACGAATCAAGAGAACAAGAGATAAATGGAAAAAAACAAAAAAAAAAAAAAAAAGAAAGAAAGAAAAAGAGAGAATTGGAAAGATCATTGTTATTGAGATAGAGGAGGGTTGTAAAACACGTGGGTGCGGTCAGATGGGAACCTCGTATGACTGGGCCGGTAGCAAGGAGTAATAGCGGTACCCCTTTAGCTGCACCTTGCGGTCTCGCGAATTCTTTCCCTACCAATTCCTGGTAACTCGATACCTGGAAACGATTTCACGTGTCGAATTACCACGTTTACACGGCCGAGCATTCTCTCGTCGATCGCCCATCTCTCTCTCTGTCTCTCTCTCTCTCTTTTCCTCTGTATCTTTCTATCTCTCTTTTTTTATTTATTCATCCATCGATCTATACAACGATCTATTCGTATACACTAACGAAAAGGTGGGTGTTAGTGTAATAAAGCCTCGGACTCTTTGCGTGCACCCAATCGTGCGTATTATATACTACATACGTTATGTCCTACATTTTTAAATATTTTTCTGCGGTCTCACGTCATTTTACTATCACGATATCGGTCATAGTTAAAATAGAAAGCGCAGAACAGACTTCCTTCTGTGTTCTCCATCTTTTTCTCTCTTTCTCTCTCCCTCTCTCTCTCTCTCTCTCTCTCTCTCTTTGTTCAATGAAAATGGGGAAAAAAAAAAGAAAAGAAAAAGGGAAAGGAAGAAAATATGATATGGAAAATAAAACGATAAAATTCATATAATACAACATAACTCTCTATGTTTTTCAACCATGAAAAGGGATCGAATGTTTGCATTCAAATATTCTTTTTATCGAACCAACATATTATCCATGACTTGATCCATTCCCTCTCGAAAGAGAGTTATGAAAACTCGAGTGAGTAGTCTGGATCGAGGATTACGTGATAAATAGATAGAGATAGAGAAAGAGAAAGAGAAAAAGAGAGAGAGAGAGAACTTGGATATAAATAAAAAATGAGAAGGATAAGAGAGCTGCCTCAGCAACGTCACGCTCGAGTTAGACGAGTGGATCTAGAATATCGAGAGCTCGAAGCTCGAGCTCATTAACGTGTTCAAAAGGGAGACCTTGGCTTTCTCGCACCTCAAAGATTTCTTTTTTTATCTTTCATCTCTCTCTTCAAAAAAAAAAAGAAAAAAAAAGAAAAAATGAAAAAATGAAAAAATAAAAAAAATGAAAAGAACAATTCTCAAAGTCATTCAACATTATTAATACGTATATAATATATATTATATATATATAAATATAATATAAATATATATATATACATATTTCTCTCATTTAATAAATCGTCTATGTATTATATATATATATATATGATATAGTTAATCGAATCTCATTCGTAATTTTTCCAAACAACAAATATTTTCTATATCACCTGTTCGACGAGAATAAGGGGGAGAAAGAGAGAAAGAGAGAAAGAGAGAAAGAGAGATGTTCACCACGATCGCGACAAGCGCGGTTTACCACGATGCATTAGCCGCTTGTCATTCTGACGTATCAATTAAAATAGCGTTTCACAGATATAACATCTTATTAATATTATCACGCTGCTGCGCGATGGCTTCGGACCTGAATGTCACGGATAGCTAACTCGTACGCGTTATTATCTAAATCGCTGGTAAACGAACGTCTACGTTTATTACGATCTACGTGAGATATATGAGATAATTAAAAAAAAAAAAAAAAAAAAAAAGAAAAAAAAACGAAAAAGATTGTATTATAAAAAAATTCACGATCTCGATCGACCACCGTATATATAATTTATATAATCAATTTTAAAGCTGACACTCTCGCGACTCGGCTTTATATATATATATATATAAAAGAAAAAAAGAAAAACAAAAAAAAAAGGAAAGCAAAAAAGAAAAGAAGAAATTGCACAAACAAAATCGTAACATTCGCGACTTCGATATGAGAAAAGAGACATTCGATAAGGGGTAACACTATCTTTTACATACAAATGATCAACGAAATGTTTTAAGTCGCTTCGTGATATCTCGTAATGTATCAAGTTACTTCGCGAAACGCTAAAAGAGCGATTTCGTGCTAACCAATCGATTCTAGAAATTACCTTCATTTTACAACTCTTTATATATATATATATATATATATATATATATATATATATATATATATAACATATATATATATATATAACAAAAAAAAATGGATAAACAGATGTTATCAACTTAACCGAATGAAAACTTAAGTACTAGCTAACATTACTGAATGAGTAAAAAAGAAGAAAAAAGAAGGGAAAAGAAAAAAAAATAGAAAACGAACAAGCCTTCAAATGAAATTATTAGTTTTCCCGGAAGAGAATGAATGAGATCGACGATCGAAGATCGATTTTAATTTTTTACCAAGTTTTTTTAACGATAACGATAATGAAGATAATCGATGTTACAAGGTTCGATCAATCCAGTATGATCATTATAACGCGTCCTTATTAACGTTTCTCGGAAAATGTCGATAAAACGAGAAAGCTGATTTATATTAAAGTAGTAATTTAAAGGATGGTGTACGCTACATCTTCGATGAATTACAAACTCGATTACCGTGTCAAATTTGATAATAATAAACAAGTTAAACGAGAAAAAGGAAAGTGTAAACTATAACAAGAACAACAACAACAACAACAACAACAACAACAAAAGAAAAAGTAAAGAATATAACGATACGGATTGGTAATTAATCTACAATTCTATTCGTCTTAAGTACAAGTCGATAATTCTTTCGAGATCGATGGCTAACTCGAAAGTTACTTACGACAGCGTTTTACAAGAGGACTGGAAGAGCTTCTTCTCTTTTATGTTACGCCGAAACGGATACCTACATCTTCTGCATACCTACAAGTATTCCTTTCGCAGGTGACACGTGACAAGCTTTATCCGAGCTCTCTTCTATCCCACGATCCTTACGTCCGTGAGTTAAGACTCTCCCGAAGTCTTCGTCTTCGTATTTCCCTCTACGAATTGCGAACAAGATAGAAGAAGGAATCCAAGTAGAAATAGAGATAGAAAGAAAGAGAGAGAGAGAGAGAGAGAGAAAGAGAGATAAGCATGAGATATTTACGCTTTCACTAGAATTCTGTATTAACATTTGATCGTAAGATCTACAAATTTTAGATCGTCCTATAAAAATATTTACTAGAAAATTAATAAAATGATATGACAATTTTTTCAATGAATTGATTAAATCATTTCATATTATTACTCAAATTAAATCATTACAAATTATAATAATATTATTATATAAATCTCTTGGATAAGAAAGAAACGTGCTCTATTTTCTCTCTCTCTCTCTCTCTCTCTCTTTCAGCTTCTAATTTCCATTGAACTCTTTGATCCAACGAGACAAAGAGTTCAATGAGATTTTAACGACTCGTTTGCGATACCTCGAGTCTGGATACGTGGGCGTAGGGCATGGGCGTTCAAGAGGAAGTCTTCCTCGACAGGGGTCCTCAACTCGTTTGTCAGAGTCGATCGTAAAATATGTTATACTTTTCCTTCCTTCCTTCCTTCCTTCTTTTTTTTTTCTTCTCTTCCTCTTCTTCCTCTTCTTCCTCTTCTTCTTCTTCTTCTTTCTTTTCTTTTCTTTTCTTTTCTATTCTCTCTCTGTCTCTCTCTCTCTCTCTCTCTCTCTCTCTCTCTCTCGCTACGATGACCACATCATTGTAGGATAGTTTCTCGAACACCTTCTTCAAGAATGACGAGTCCGACGAACGAGAACGATTTACGAGCTGGCAAGCTCGTCGTCTCTGATAATTGAATTGGCACCATTAATCGCGTGTTTCAACGCAATTCTCTTTTCTCCTTCCTTTTTCATTCTTATTTGCCAAGTCACGTAACGTTCTGTCGTATCAAAAGAAAAAGAAAAAAAAAGAAAAAAAAAAAAAAAAGAAAGAAAGAAAGAAAGAGAAAAAAAGAAAAGAAAGGTCAATGAACCGGAAGTCTTACTGCTTGATAAATAAACTCGAAAAATTCGACGAATTTGAAAACAAATTCAGTTTTAAATAGCTCCCTGTCTATATAACTCTAACGCGTAATTATTTTTCTCGTACGTGATGGTAGAGTGGAATGTAAAAAAGAATTTATCGACAGACGAAACGCAATCTGGTTTCGTTTTGCCATCGAGACCAACTAAACCGTTTTCTTTCGTTTTCGTTTTCTTCTTTTTCTTTTACTTTCTTTTTTCTTTTTTTTTTTTCTTTTTTCTTTTTTCTTTTTTGCTCACAAACGTTAGTCGACCACTCGAGTATCGAAAAATAAATTTGCCGTTGCCGGAGGGATTAATACCAGGCGCCAGGGAGTACTTGACTCTAATCGAAATAGAAGAATTCATGATAGAGAAGAGAAATCCGTAAATAAAATAAACGATTACACGCGAAGAAGATTCTATGAATCTGCCAGCTTGAAACAGACCATGTTCTTGTTTTATAAGATATTGATTTATAGAAACCCATTAAGATGGGAGCATTGAAATTTTCCATCCAAGCAATTTCTAAAACGTTCACGATCAAAATAAATAAAAATTGATCTAAATGATTATTATTTCTATCCAAACATTTAAATCTAACGAAGAAAGGAATAATATTTAAGGAAAGAAAAAAAAAATTAAAAAAAAAAGAGAGAGAAAAGAAATAAATAGAAAAGGAGAACTAAATGATTTCTTCTATTTTCTATAATCCATCAGATAATTTGGTAACGAGAACGGTGTGTAATGATTGCTAACAGGTGATAATGATGATCGATGAAGGCGAACGACCGAGAGACTCATTTCCATGCCGACTTCATCGAAACTCGTCAAGTGAGACGTATGTTTCTTAGTATTTCAAAATGAATTTCCACTAAAAGATATATATCGAGGCTTCAGGCAACTTGAATACCTTCTCTCACGTGTTTCATCGATAGCAAATATTCTCTTTCTTTCTCTCTCTCTCTCTCTCTCTCTCTCTTTCTATTACTATACGTATAAATTTATATAATAAATATAAAAGATTTTAACACATCAAATAAAATGATCAGAATTTTTTTGATATTTCTCAAAAAGAATTTCTTCTAATCTAGATCGTACAACTTCTGATTTAAATACGTACTTATAGTACGTATCACGTGAGAGAGTTAAACGTTCCTTACAATCTACAAGTGAGAGAAAGATGAAGGTATGTGAATGCTTGTAGAAGGTAAACGAGCTCGATTAGTGGGTGTATGAGAAAGTGAGAGGTACTGAGAAAACGAAGAAAGCATGAAAGAGATAGGGAGAGAGAGACAGAGAGAAAGAGAGAGAAAGAGAGAGAAAGAGTGGCGGTTCGAAGTAACCGCTGAAATTGCCATGAAATTATCTGCCAGTTAACTACGAGAGATCTTTTTTACGAAACGATATAACCAGACGAGGTCGATATATATCGCCACGCAAATTGCGTCGAGCTTCTCGCGTTTCATCGCCGCTGTGTACGCCCACTCACTCATTCTCTCTCTCTGTCTCTCTCCCTCTATCTTTCTCTATCTTTCTCTCTCTTTCTCTGCTTGTACGCATAAACGTTTACGCAATATCACAAGTCCGTCTTTTTAATACTTAAGTAATGTCCGTTGGCTATTTGTTCGTGCACTTTTGTACATAAACAAATTTTTAAAAATGAAAGTATCATTCTCATCGGGTCATTCAAAAATCATTGACATTCGTATTCCATCAAAATCACGTGTATAATAAGATCTTATCCTTGGCTTTCACAAAATGCTTTTCACCATGCAAGTACTATCTTTACGACCTTGTAAATTGTAAAGGATCGGACAACGTTGAGAATAAATGATCCTTTCCATTTAAAACTTTCAACGTTTACAAGTAATGATAACGTCAATGTATTTATATTATACATAATTTTTACAAATTTTATATTTAAAAATATCGTTTTAGAAAAATATTCGATACTTCGATAAATTTAATTAGTTATTTCATCATTAGAAAAAAAAGTCATAAGAATCGAAAGGAATCAATAATAGAACATGAAAATTTTGATTGAATTTAGGCAGCCATTAGCTCGACATCATTTGCGTTACATTTTTTTATAATAATTATTTGATCGCAAATAATATCGATTGCCCGGGTCTCACCACTTGGAGGTTGCTGCATACGGAGACCCACGAGCTATGACTCTACTTCTAATATTTTAAAGCCAAATATATAAAAATCAGATTAATTATTACATATCCAATAATAAATTATTATAATTTGGAAAAAAATGCAAAGTCAACTGCGAAACGAATCAAAAATTTTTTTCTAATCAATCAAGATTAGGCGAAAATTTTATGAATCCGTTTAATAACGACCTACCTACCCGATACCCGTGAAGGAATAGAGTCCTTGTATGTAACTCTATTCCCAAATTATAATGTACATATTATATTGAAATAAATAAAAAAAGTATTTATAAACATAAAACACCTAAACCATTTTATAATTAAATAATAAAGAAATCGATATAATACGCGAATTTTATACAATAAATCAGTACCAATCTGTAATAAAACATTTTATAATTAAAAACAAGTAGTAACCTGTAATAAAACATTTTATAATTAAAAATAAGTAGAAACCTGTAATAAAACATTTTATAATTAAAAATAAGTAGAAACCTGTAATAAAACATTTTATATTTAAAAATAAATAGCAATCTGTAATAAAACATTTTATAATTAAAAATAAGTAGCAACCTGTAATAAAACATTTTATAATTAAAAACAAGTAGCAATCTGTAATAAAACATTTTATAATTAAAAACAAGTAGGAATCTGTAATAAAAACATTTTATAATTAAACATGCAACAATTAAAATAATATGACGTCTTCTATATGATATTTCGTCAAGTCACCTATGAAAATAAAATATTTAAACCATTTTATAATTAAATAATAAGAAATCGATATAATACGCGAATTTTATACAATATATCACCAGCTATCTGTATTAAAACATTTTATGCAAGAAGCAGCAATCAAAATAATATGATGTCATCTATGTAATGTATAATCAGTCATCTGTGAACAGAAAATATCCGATGTATTAAACAAAAAGAAATTAATACAATATGGTAATTTTATATAATGAAACAATAACCTGTGGAGAAGAAATTTATAATGATAATACTTCCTGAAAATAGAATATATATTAAAATAATTATTATTTTAAATTCTCACTAATACATGCATACACACACTCAATCATATAGGAAAATAATAACCGACGAAGAATGAAACAGAATCTTGCCAATTTAGACGATGTTTCCTGAAACAGAAATCACTCTATGTAGATTAATTAAAAATTTCTTCATCTTAAACGAAAAAAAAAAAATAAAAAAAAAAAAAAAATAATTCCGGACAATTCATTCTCCAATGCTTTTCATTCGTTGTTATTCCAATTTCATCATTCCAATACTCAATAATCAAATAGATTATCACTTACTCACATTATTACCTTTCTTTGATGTTTTTATCATCCGGAAAACCTAAAATCAAAATCATTTTTATATAATAGATTTATATTTTCTATTAATTTATTTTTATGTCATATATGATAGTATTACAAACCTTGAAATATTATTTTTGAGACTGATGATAATATCCATTGATAAAGGGACATTTTTCATTGCCTATTGTTCCTTATATTTAACCTTGAAACTTCAAAATTTGTTACTCTCTGTAACAAAAAACTATATAAAAACGTATGTGTGGAAAAATGAAATCCTATGTACAATCCATGGCCAAATAGTTTTACTTTAATAATTTAATAAATCTTATAGTATATATTTAAAAATCTTATGATATATATATATTAAAAAACCTTATGGTATATATTTTTAGCCACAGATTGTAATGCTAAAATATAAAAAGTAAATATTAAAATAGCAAAAAAAAAAAAAACTAGTATTTAACATATCGAATTTTCGATGCATTAGAAAATGTATTTTATTTTTAAAAAGAAATAGATATTTACTACAATCGACTTTTATGTATAAATATATAAATAAAAGAATATTTGCATATTAAATTGACAATTTTTTAATACAACAATTAAAAGTTAAATATCGCAATTAAATAAAATTAAATATTGTACTTAAACAACAATTAAAAATATAGATATTGCAAATTATTCAAGACACGTTATAAAAAAAAAGAAGATTAGCGAATATTTCATTATATTTAAGAATTAATTTAAATCGCGTTTAAAAGGGAAAGAAAAATGTACTGTATCTTGCATCGTATTACAAAATGCATACACAATTTTATACACCCCCATGACCATATCCTTAATGAGATCAGATTTATATTTAATCAATAGATAACATATATCTTATTTTATTACGTTTATACTAACGCGAAGTATGTAGTTACATCAAGAGTGTATGATGTTATATATTATATCATTTATATATAAGACAACATCTTTTCAATTTATTAAATTATGAAAAAATATACTTGTACATTTTCACAACTTTAGAACCAGCTATTTCGAGTACGCATGTGAAATAGTAATATGCAATATGAAATGTTAAAGAGAAATAAAATTAAATATAGAAATTTTAAATACATATAGGATATATTTAATATTTTATAATTAGCAATTTATTTTATCACTACAGATTGCTTTAGCAGATCTTCCTCCCTAATCTCATCAAGTCTTATAGATTTTTAATCAGAATAATTGAAATCTCTATAATAAGATTATGATAATGATGATGGTGATGGTGATGGTTATCACATATGAGTCATTTTACAACTCATGATATTAAAAGGAATTACTTATCCTTTAATAATTATAAAAAATATATATAATTATCCCGAAATAAAAATCTATGTGCTTGAATATGCAGGTGCATTCCTGAATGCAAACCTGTAACTATTCTATTTTCATCCACACTTCTGAGTATGGACCAGCCTTTTCATACGTTTTATTTATATACCAAGATTTACACATTTTTATTCCAAAAAAACAATCATATTTCTTCCATATATCCATTCCTTCCATAAACATTTCTTTAATATTCACCATCATATCATTCATTCATTTCCTCCTCATATTTATTATGAATCTTTCATAAATCTATATGTATATTTATATATAAAAATACTTTCTCTTATATAATTATCGACTCTTTCATTTCATATTTATTTGTTGATAACTTTGGAATACAAATGTATACTCTTGACATATTTTAGGCACTCCTGAGTGCAAGGCTGTTATTTTTGTATCATATCGCTCGCTTAGCAAGATTTATACATTTCTAATCAGAACGATATAAAAAATTTTTTTCATTCGTTTGCACACTATTTAAATGAAATTAAATTGTTATGTTAGGAGGATTATAAAAATATTCTCGATTTATTATTATATAACTTTTATTTCTTTAAAAAAATATCATAAGATTGTAATAATTAAATTATTATATTATATACTCATTATATACTTTCAAATTTTCATTCATATATTTTGAATATTCTGAATGAGAAATGTATATACTTACTATAATATGTTCATCTGCATTCCTGCAGGTATGTACTTACTGTGAACCTATCATAATGCACTCCTGAGTGCAGGCAAGCCATTTCAATCGTTTCATTTATATACCAAGACTTATGCATTTTTATACCAAAAATAAACATATTTCTCTCACACATATATATAAATAAATTTATTAATAATCTTTATATTATTCATTGTATCTTCTTAATATTTCTTATGCAATTTTCACATATATACAAAAAAAAAATACTCCTTTCTCCTCTCTCTCTTTCTCTTTGTCTCTCTTTCTCATATATATATACTTATTAATCCTCTTATTTCATATTCATTTATTCATAATTTTGATATAAAAATGGATACCCTTGATATATTTTAATATGCACTCCTGAGTGCTGGCTGCCATTTATGTCGCTTCATTCATCTAGCAAGACTTACACATTTCTTATCAGAATGACTCAAATTTTCTTTTGATTGATTGTATATCATTTAAATATCTATCATTCAGTTATTACATATGGAATAAAATGAAATTTCATTTGTTGATTGTTATGTAAGTTTAATGTATTGAAAAGAATATCACTAGAAATTGACATATTTATATATTTCTTCATTAAGTATTCCTATTAGTCCATTCATTCATTCATATTTAATCATTCCAAATGCGAAATGTGTATCCTTACTATAATATGTTCATTTGCATTCCTGAATGCAATCATGTACTTACTTTGAACCTATCATAATGCACTCCTGAGTGCAGGCAAGCCATTTCAATTGTTTCATTTATATACCAAGTCTTATACTTTTTTATTCCAAAAATAATCATATTTCTCTTACATATGTATAAATATTTGTTAATAATCTTTATATTATTCATTGTATATTCTTAATGTTTTTTATGAAACTTTCATATATATATAGAAAATAAAAATACTCCCTCTTTCTCCTCTCTCTTTCTCTTTGTCTCTCTTTCTCTTCGTCTCTCTTTCTCATATATATTTACTTATTAATTCTCTTATTTCATATTCATTTGTTGATACTTTTGGAATAAAAATGGATATCCTTGATATATTTTAATATGCACTCCTGAGTGCTGGCTGCCATTTATGTCGTTTCATTCATCTAGCAAGATCTATACATCTTCTTATCAAAATGATGCAAAAAAATTTATTTATTTTTGATCATTCTAAGAAATGTATATTCTTACTATAATTATATTCATCTGCATTTCTGAATGCAGGCATACCCTTTTTCGTTGTAAACATCAAGTCTTGTAGATTTTTAATCAGAATAATCAGTATAAGTAGAATAAGCAAAATAAGTAGAATAAGCAGAATAATCAGAATAATGAAAATCTGATTACAAAAGAATAATGAGGATGATGATGATGATAACGATAATGATTACCACATATGAGTTATTTAATAACTCGTGGTAAAAGTAGGAAGTTGTAAAAATGTTTTTACAATCCTGTGTTCACATTATTTACCGCATAAGGGCCTTTGAGCGACCCGCGGTAGTGCTGTGTTGACATGTAGGTATGAAATATGCATATATCTCGTATATATACATACACTTTATGCAGTTATGAAAATGAAAGAGAAAAAATAT